CAGTGTTAAGTACCATTCAAAGCAGTGAACTAAGTACTTACACACATTAATTCATTTAATCCTCACAATAACTCTCTGAGGCTCGTGCAGTCATTCCCATTTCACACGTGGGGAAAACTGTGATACAGAGAGAGTTAATATCTTGCCCAAAGTCACAGCTAGCAAATGGAGGAGCAGGGATTTGAACCTAAACCATCTTATTCCACACCCATCTGAATTACTTGGCCGTGTCAAAGCGACCATTGCAATATAACAGAAAAGAACACTTGGGTTCAGTTTCAGAGCCCCGTCCATGCTAGTGTCCGAGAGAGAACGTGTGTGTGTGGTGAGGCGAGCATTTGGACAAGGATCCAGAGACCCACTTCTGCTCACTCTGGAGGGACCAGTGAGAGGCCTTGCCCACTCCAGATGGCTGTGTTTTGCAGGGAGTATCTCAGTTCCAAAGCAAGGGACTTGACTCTGGCCTTAGACCATCTCTAGGTTCTCCCCAGTATAAGTGCTTAAGCACCAAAAAAGTAAAGTCATTGAAAGTTACTTTACCGCCCCAGGCCTCAGCTGAGGAGCCATGAGTATAAGTGCTCGCTTTCTCTCGCACGCTTGCACATGCCCAAGAGAGGACTCATAAGGGTCCCCCCTAAACTGGCAGTGCTTGTTTCCTTCAAGAGTGGAGGTAAGGAGGGAGATTTCACTTTGTATTTATACACCTCTCTGTTGTTTGAATTTTCTTCAACAAGAAAGTCCTACTTCTATAGTATTCAAAACAACATAAAGGTAAACAATTAAAGTGATTTGTAATTAGGTTACCAGTAGCTTACAGTATGAATGGGTGTTTCAGAAGGGAAGGATCTGGAGAGTACTTGGAATGCTTGTTTTCAAGTATTTGAACCATTTCCCCTATCTGGCTTAGTATTACCTATTCCACCTGGGTAAGTGCGTTGGTTTAGCAAGGAGAATCTTCAGCCAGAGCAAGACATTCAAAGGAAGTTGGTTGCTGTCTTTAGCTACCTGAAGGGCTGTCAGGGGAAGAGGAATAGGCTTCTTGGAGCTCCAGAGTACAAGTACCGGCAGCAAGTAGCATCAGTAGGACAGTGGCTTCCCAGCCCAGGACACACTGGTAAACAGTGGACAGTCTTCCCAGAAACTAGTTACTGTCGCCATGTCAAAGCCCTCTTGGTTTTTAGGTAGTTATTTTATATCTGGCACCCCTCTGAACGTTTTAGCTTTTCCACTAGTTTTTCAGTCGATTCCTATGATTTCTGCAGGCAGATGTCCTGTGTATTTCTTACCAACATTACACCTCATTTCGTTTTCTTGGCTTAGTGAATTTTCAGAACAATGTTAAGTAATGGCAAATTAAAAATGTAGTCCTGCGCACCTGTGTTGTGACAGAATGTTTCATCTTCCATGGGCCCCTACTTGTGCTTTAGCATTAACATGTCTCTTCCTAGATAAACAGAGGTCTCTCTGTCCCCTCAGGGGATAAGGACTCTTACGTTCAATTTTATATTTACATTTAAGATTTATGTACATTGGCACATTGGAGCCATTATTCCAGAATGTATACACATGTGTATTGTGGGTCAGAGAAGTTTTAAAGTTTTTGGTGAAATACCCAGAGCGTGCTATCTAAATATTTTTGTGATTATTTTAAAGCTGTATTTTTAATATGCATGTCCTTTTAATACGGTTTTTACATTCTATGAAAAGTCTCAATTGGTGGAAGCGATGTGTCATAATTTTGTTATTTCCTTGTCTGTATGAGCACCGTATTTTTACAGCAACATCATAATCAGTACCTTTTGTCGAATGCCTCATATGTGCCAGGCACTGTACTCGGCATTTTATCTCATTAATCTTCACAGCAGGTCATTAGAGTATTATAATTTTAATTTTGTTGCTGGGAAAATGGAAGCTTACAACATTTTAAACTTGCCCAAGTTGACATAGTCAGCAGATGCCTGCCACCTGGGTTTTCCAGAGTCTGTCTAACTGGCACTTCTCCAGGATGACCTTCGCCTGAGTAACGAGCATTTACTCTCAGACCACTGAGGTTTGTTCAAGAGGGTGCCTTTTAGAAGAACTGCCACTCTCAAGCTGGAATAACTGGAAACTCTCTGTATTTCAAATTGGTATAAGAGGAGGGCAGTTGTGGCCTGAGTTCAGACTCCCCGAAATCCCTCAGCAGAATGGAGGCACTTCACCTCCCAGCCTAGGGACACCGGACTTCTGGTGCATCCGTTCGTTCATGGCTGCGTGGAGCTCTGGGGCTGCAGAGAGTAGAATGTTTGAATCCCCCGTGGTTTTGAGAGCCTTGGTGATGCTCACGTTTTCCCCAAACTTTGGGTCCATCAGATATTCGTCATGCTATTTCAGATGTTTTTCCATGCCTGGGGCTCAGGTGTCCAGACACATGTCACAGCAGAGGGTAGTCATGGGTGCCAGGGCCGTAAAGACAGGACTTCACGAGGTGGAGGCGGGGTCAGGTTTGCCGCTATCTCTAGAGTCTGCGCTTGGGACTCCAGTTAGTCTACCAAGTGCACCTGGACATGTCCCAGGGAATCTTAGACCAACTGCTGTTTTTCTCAGGGCTTGGGAAGGATTTGGTGAGTACGAGAGTCACTGAGACCTAGAGGATGTCGTGGAGAAGGAAACTATTTTCTGACCCCTCCGGCCATGAGGGAAGCAGTCCACCAGGACCTGGCCCTACAGGTTGCAGAAGTTGAAGCTCCCTAGTCTCTTTTGTCCCATCTATGTGGACAGGGTGGCGGAGCAACGTTTTGGCTGTAGATACACGATATTTGGCATGAAGAAATAAGACCTGCTGGCCAGATCAGCCTCAGAGGGCTTTATTCTTTGTTTTCACACAAAGAAAACTTCAAGGGAGATGCAGTGTGATTGCCAGGAATTATTTGTGAGGAAGTAGCTCAAGGGACTTGATTCTTAATGCTAAAATGGGCTCTAATCCTTGTTTCCTTTTTGGTATTGGATTAGAAGAATGTAGGGCAGGATTAGAATTGGCCATCAACAACACCCAGGACAAATATATGCCCCAGGAACTTCGGAGCGGGCATAACGAGGTGGGAACGGTTGACGGGAAGGGTTGACGCTGTAGCAGGAGCTGTTTTTCTCAGTCTTTACTGCTTGCAACACTTTCTGATTTGTCAGTTCTGCGTCTCTCTTCCCCTACCAAAAGGTGACGAATTTAAAGTCAGTGAATTTAAATTAATTTCATGTAGTAGCAAAAAAGAAAATATTTGTCCCCAGTAATCAACAAATTTAAATATAGCAAAATATATCATTTTCTGCTGACACATTAACAAAGATTAAAATAAACAAACTGCAAGGCATTATTTTATCAGTTAGTATGTTAATTTTGAGAGTCATGTAAAGTACTAGTGAGAATGTAAATTGTGCTTTTGGAAAATAATCGTCAGAATTTATCAAGAGCTCAGAACGTTTATGCTCTTCACCCATTCATTCCATACCCAGAAAGCTCTCCTAACAATAATTTGTGCAAAGAACCCCTGGGTATAAAGACGTTCACTGACACATTATTTTTAGAGCATTTTTCCTATTATAAAAAATAATATGGACTCAATGCAGAAAGCTTAGGAGACAATTAAGGATTAATCATCATCTTACTGAACACAAATTACATTTTGGTATAAGCTCTTCTCATTTTTCCTATGCATATATACTTTTTAAAAAAGAGTTGTTGCATGCCCTTTCCCCCGCTTAGCCATGTAACTTGGCATTTCCTCCCTGTGTTGTACTTATTGGGGAAATTCTAACCCTAGTTGAAACCAGCTCTTTTCCTTCCTGACTTGCGCCTGGACAGCCAGATGTTTAAAAAAAAAAAAAAGTCACAAATGAGCTGCCTGGTTTTACTTTAAATTCATAGTCACAGTCTATGGCCATGCCACCCTGAACAAGCCTGATCCTGTTTGATCTCGGAAGCTAAACAGGGTTGGGCCTGGTTAGTCCTTGGATGGGAGACCACCTAGGAAGACCAGGCGCTGTAGGCATAAAAATAAAAAATAAGGGCTTATAAGCTGAAAAGGTCCTTGCAGGCTGTGAGGTCAACCAAGGGTTGCCTCACCTTAAAAAAATAAATAAATAACAATAAATAAATGAATGAATGAATTCATAGTCACAAATCTCTAATTAGCCCTCAGTACTGTCCAGAAATGCTAAAACATCTCTACAGTAAATTCATTTTCCCAGTCTTTGGAAAAATATTCAATACCTTCTTTCTTTAAACCTTCCATGTATAGCACCACTCTGCCCACTTTTAGCCGATGACCTCATTTCCAACAAGGAAGCCCATCACCTCTGCCACCAAATCTTTAAGCTCACCAATCTCCTCCTCCCTTCTTCCCACTGGGTGCCATGTAGCACCCTGCTATTCGTTCACTCCTGGTGCTTAGTACAGCGACTGGCAAACAGTGGTTACTCAACAAATGTTAGAATGAAAGAATGAATGGATGAATATGTAGCTTCCCATGTCATTATTTCTAATGAGTACATAGTATTCCATTGTACACACGTAACCTAATTTACTTACCACTGCTCTATTATTGGATATATTCCCAATTTTTCATCACGCTAAAACATGGGGAATAATCTAAATGACTATTAAGACAATTGGTGACTAAACTATAGACTATTATGCAAGCATTTAAAATCCTAGGAAGCATTTTTATTAACCTGGGGCAATGAGCTTGTTAACTGAAAAACATACTACGAAATTATGTATATATAGCATCATGTTAACTATGTAAAAGTGCATAGAAAAAGCTAGTAGGAAATAACTGAAAATATTAATCAAGCATTGCAAGTTGGCAGGAATACTGATGATTTTTCTTCTTGAAATTTTTAAGTACACAAATAAAACATGATATTTTCTTCTTGATACTTTTCTGTGTTTTCCAAGCTTACTGCAGTAAGTTGTGTGTGTGCGTGTGTGTTTATAATCAGGAATATAATTCTTAAACATTTGAGAATACATTTTGACACATCAGATTACTGAAGATCATCAAAAGTATAATTATGAACCATTGTGCTCTAGAGAACCACCTACTCTTTGATACACACTTGCTAATGACGACGGTTAGCCTTTGAACCCTTCCAGGTCTGTTTGTTACCTGGTTTTAGAAAGGTTGGCAAGCGTGGTGGATACATTCGTGTGGAGAGGCGCATTATGGGGACTGGGGCTTACCAGAATGGTGATTTGGGGGTGAGAACATCTCACAGATATACCGAGGGTTGGAAAGACTTCACAGTTGCTCTTCACATCTGTTTTTGGAGCTTGAAGGAGACTCATGTGGCCTGAGGGATTGTCACAGACTTTCACTCAATTTAAGACATCGGTTAAACCCAAGACCGTTTTGGGAGTCCATGTGGTCAAAACTATCTTCTTAATAAGACTAATAAGGTGTTATTTGCCTTTTTCGCTCTTAACCCCTCACGAGTGCACAGTGGAGTTGTCCAGATGCTGTATGACTTACAACAGATTGTAGAAGCAGGTCGGAGGATCCAGCTGTCTTCTATGAAGCTGGTCATTAAAGAGAGTTGCAAAAATATTTTTTTAAAAAAGCCACTAAATTTATTTTTTTCCTATTGGAAAATATAGTTACATTTCATTAAAATGCTATTTAAGTTAACATATAATGGGTTTATTGTTATTTTAATGAATTAACTTTTTTTAAATTTCTCTGTTTAACTATTTCTAATATAGTAACTATCAATAGGTATTTACCCACCTAAGCGAACACTCTTTGGTGTCCTCAATGTTTAGGAGTGTAAAGGAGTCCTGAGGTCACAAAGTCTGGGAACTCCCAGTTAAGGAAACAGGAAGAGAACTGGCTTTATGGCGGATTGATCATGGCTTAGTAAAGAGACTGGTTGAACAAAGAGAAAGAACAAAGCCTGTGTGGGGGGTGCGGAATTATTAGACCTAGTCTAATAGGTAGGTATTGGAAGTCCTTGAAATTACATTAAATTTTTCTTTTCCCCTACTTCCTTCTCCCTTCCTCCCTCCCTCTTCCCTTCTTTTTTCTCTCCTTTTTCAGAGATCATGCATGATGTGATAAAGAAGGTAAAGAAGAAGGGGGAGTGGAAGGTAAGTAGACAAGTACAGTTAATGGCCATAAAGGTGAATTAATATAGAAAATGCGACAGTGGGGGCGGAGTTGGGGGAAAGGTGTACAGGCAGGGAGTGGGGACCTTGGTTGTGTCTAGAGAGTACAAAAAAAAAAAGGTAATCTGCTCTGCCTCTCCTTTTACTGGATCCTCGTTAAGATATGCCCTGGTCCTAACACTTACCTGTAAGATCACCTAAGATCACCTGGTGCGGCATTTTGGCAGTGGAACTTTATTCAGACGAAATCTTACCTGGATCCTGTTATAATGAGAGAGTAGGGGAAGGCGAAATCCTGCTTGCTGCAGGAGAGATCCTTCTGGCGCCTCCGGCAGTGCTGAAGCATCTCCACGGAGCCCACCGAGCTGTGAAGAGCCCTCATCGGTCTGTCCCCATCTGTCTGTACCTACATAAGACAAAGGAAGTTACGCGTTCAGCCCTGGAACTTTGAGGGCAGTGCTGGAGGTGTCACGTATAATGTCCATGAAACAAGCCTTTAAGCCAGTCACACCGATCACCGCCTCGGTTCCTGGAATGGGTGACGCAAAGAGTGGGGAGGCATGCTGTCCTCCGTCAGTGTTTGAGGGGTCCCGTGGTCGTCTGGGGCTGGGCGTTACACTGTCCAGGAGAGCATGCGGTTTTACTTGAACTTCTCTGGGTGTTATGGAAGGGTTTATTCCAACCATTTTTGCCCCCAAGTTTTCCTGCAGTTAGGAGCCCACACATTTTCAAGTTTATTGGTCCTAGGAAGAGCAGAGGTGACTGGCATAGGGGGATTTTGAAGTCTCACCCTGGCCAGCGCATCCTCCTCCTACAGCCAGGCCGTCTGGTGGGAACTCATCATCCCCATCTTCGTGGACGTGTGAAATTTAAACAAATCTCAAGGAAGCTGCCTCGGGAAACGAAAACCGATGGGCCCTCATACTGCAGCACAGCGCTCTCCGGTCCATGTAGGGCCTAGATGCTGTCACCTCAGTTTATATCATTACAGAAGGAGAAGAGAGCTGGCCTCGTTTTAACTGCCAGCTTCCTCTCTCCGCTGTGAGCTGAATGGTGCTGGGAAAGGTTAGCTAAGAGATTGCAGGTGTGAAGCTTTTAGACCGGGATGGCACGTTCTCGTTCCTCCCTTGGGACTGAAGTACTTTACTCCCAGATGATGCACGTGCTGCTGAAGGTGTGTCCCGATGACACAGCAACAAAGTCCTCACCTTCCGGACCGTACATGGGGCACAAGTGTCCATTCTCCCTTTAAGATAAAGCTATACCCTGAAAAAATACTCTTCAATACAGTTTTCTCTGAGTGTGGGTGCTAGAGATTTTTTTTGTCTTTTTTCTTTTTATGAGTAATTTTATTTATTGTAAAAAATGAAAACTTAAAAATTTTTAAGTTGATAAAGTTAAGTCAGTGAGAGCAAACTCTTAATTCCTAGAAGATTAGATGTGGGTGTGGGAGATAAAAACTAGCACGCATGTCAGCAAACTTTCAGCCCATAGGAAATACCCGTAACTCAGTATTCTGTACTTCTGGGGTTCTTTCTGAAGTCTGACACGGTGAGCTGCTGCGAGCGTCAGAGCAGATGCCGTACAGGCAGTAAGCTGGCGTCTTTGCTTCCAGGTGCTGGTGGTCGATCAGCTGAGCATGCGGATGCTCTCCTCCTGCTGTAAGATGACGGACATCATGACCGAGGGAATAACAAGTGAGCACAGCATTCCCTCTCTGCCCTCGAGTGACCCGCAAGCCTTCCCTTTGGCTGGGCTTTCCTCCTCTCTATTCATTATTATCTTGCTCGACTCTAGATTCTTCCGACAACCTAGGTGATCAGACTGAGTTTCTGAGAGAGACCCAAGTCTTCTTGTTCATTACTAAACCCCTAACTCCATACTATAACTAATCTCTAACTCCAAACTCATTAAATGTTTGTGCAAGGATGCCAGAAAGGTTAAATCAAAAAAATAAAGCAGGCCATCCAATAGAAAAAATGGGCAAAAGACCAGAACAGGCACTTAACAAAGGAAGAAATCTAAATGCCCAACAAATACATGAAAAATTGCCCACCTGCGTTAGTGGTCAGAAAAATGCAATTAAAACCAGAGTGAGGTACTGCTTGCTATACACTCAGCAAATTGGAATATTTAAACTCTGATAATGCCAAGTGACAGAGAAGATGTAGAAAAATGGGAACTCCTGTATGACAGAGGGTCCGTTGGTACAGCTACTTTGAAAAACACTTGGCAGTGTCTAGTAGGGCCGAAGGTGCACGTGTCCTATGAACCAGCAAGTCTGTGGTTAGATGTGTGTCTTAGGGAACCTCAGGCGT